TGAAGGATTGTACCTACTGTCCCCATTGCATGATCGTAAGTGGTGGCTTAACTTGGGGTCTTTATATTTTTTCATTGTTCTAAAGATGTTTCTCCTTTCTAATGTCTCCCATGACACTGCCTCACATTTGGCCTTTAGTTGAGCAGGTTTGGGTTCTGACTTACCAATGTCTTTTATAAATGGTAATGATTACTTCCTCCTTAAACTTTAGCATTGTGGTAATGTAACGACTGGTTTGACCTTTGTCCTATTGAGGGTCTGCGACGGCATACTTCGGTGTGTGGTACTCGACTTTAGTTCTGCAAGGAAGCATACGCGTACATAATGTAGCTTCCAAAAACCACACGCACGCAAAATATGCATTCAGGTACGTAGATCGGGAGGCCGTCCATTACCTGTTTATAGGGCATTAACAAATCAGATTCCTTTCGATGTCTGATCAACATGAAAATTAAACACCAAGATGTTAATCAAATATTATTTCGGACTAAAACTCAGACTTGGTGTTATGAAGGAGTAAGCATAATTACCTAGTTTCTGTGTTATCGATAAATGTCCTATATGTATATCGAAATATGACATCACAAATTCGAATTCCTCATATCAGAAAGATCGAAAGTATGCCTTATTTTCTGGCGTATATTTGATATCAGGAGATCGACATGATTTAATAAATGTATGAAACAATATTTTCATTTTCAAAAATTCAATGTTATATTTTTTCAGCAATTCAAAATGTGCTATAGACAAAACGCTTTTTCAGTGAATATAACACCATGCACTTCTGACAAACTGATTAAAGATGAACGATCAGTGCAGTTTCACGTTAATTTTGCGATCTATTTTGGTGTAGCCGACTTTTGTGTTAAAAGGTTAACTCACAACCGTCACATCCTAGATGGTTCTATTTCAGGTTTAATGGTGGAGGGGAGACAACTCCACTTTTATTACCACTGATTTCGTATTTTATTTTCAAATATATGTTATTTAAAAAAAAAAAAATAAATAATAAGTGTCCGATGTATAGTTATCAACCATATATAATTCATAAAGGACAAATTATACTATAAAGTCAGTCGTGTATAAACGCATTGGTCATCAACCTTGATGATCTACAGAAAATGCTGTTAATAGCTAGGCATTTTGTGTTTTACATTATGATAATAGCCGTTTAGTAGTTTAGATACTGGAGCTGAAATATTTAGACAAGTAGGAATATGTTGCTATTTAAAACTTATCACCTGTAAATATGATATAAATCTATCATATTGATGAGTACCAGTGATATGAATTTTCTTGTGATGCAGAAAATTTAATCTTACTTTTATTATGTTAAGTCACGTATTCTTCATTTACTATCTACATACATGTACTTAGCTTGAGGGGGATGGGGGTGGGGGTGGAACCATGCACCAAATATATTTGTTTGAAGCGACCAGGCCGATATCATTTGAAATTATCATGTTTATACATCAAAAAATATTTAATATCTAGAATTCTAATATTGTTTTGAACATAGTCGTCAACGACCAAGTCACTCAGAAGTCATTTAAACAACGTCCGACACAGAAATGTCCGCGGATGTTCTAAATCCTTCCCAGTGACGATGGCTGCCCCAGTCACAATACTCCACCATAAAGAAATATTGTGATCTGCTCAAACACAGACAGTAAACATTTACCAATAGGGTCAGCTATGTAACTGCTTGACATTCACCACATCTATCATCACTTAGGACATTCAACAGACCATCTGTCCACACTTTTGGAATTACATGGTTGTCCAGCAGATTATGAACCTTCCAGCTGTTCAGACAGGACCACATACAGTAGTACAACTGCCCACACAGATCTGCGTTCAATAACTACTTCGCCCACACAGGACTGTATAAATGGCCGCCTTGTCCAAAAAAGGAACTATATATATGTATTTAGTTTTATTGTCCACACAAGACTACATCTATGGTATATCTATTATACCACTGTCCTCAAGTCATCATGGGTTAGAGCTAGAACGGCACAGATATGACTATTTCTAACTATGGTGTCTTGTTATATAACATATATATATATACATATATACAAATGGCTAAATTACAGAGTTACTATTCATTTATCCAGCATTTTGCATATCATAAATAATCACTAGTATTTTTACAACTAATCGACAGTGCTTGTATATATTAGCCGTTATCATAACCAAACACTATTTCTTTTACTACCAATCGACAGTGCTTGAATATATTATCCGTTATGATAATAACTACTTCTAAAAACAAAATGCACTAATTACATAGCCAAGATTAAGCAAAACGTGTATTATATTCTCTGGTATGGATTGTAATCGTTGATACGCACTTTATATTTATGTATATTAATACGCTACAAGCGCAATACACAACAAATTTTGGGCATATAACTTAGGGACTTTTGGGATATTATAAGACTTACCGCAAACTTTATTTTGCGCTGGTGTACCCCATTTCAACATAAACACGCTAAAACAACAATAGTATTTACAATAAATTATCACAAGAATGGCAATACAATACATAGATAACAAAAACATCGGAATTATAAAATAAGATAGATGTAAGTCGTTACCATGACATTATCTACTGGGTATTTGTGTTTATAAATATAAATGATGGTACTGTGACAACTTTAATATTCCGTTTGCCAAATTTCTCAAATGTTTGCTATGTTTTTACAAAGAGTGGTGAAGAACTTCCTCTCCATGTGTTCGTTGGATTTAAGAGCACGGTAAATATTCTATGTCGTCACTTCCGGTATCAAACAAGGTGCTTGTTTCCAAATTGATACCCTGCAAGAAAATGGGATAAAACAGACATCCAACAGCTTATTCTTACGAAAGTCACTATCATCACATCATATTGATTACCTCATAATTTTATTGTAAATATGGAAATGAAGATAGGCGCTGCCGTCCACAGTAATGGTGGTACACTGATCGACATTACGTCACATATTGTCAAAGCATATAAGCGTTAATGATTTAACGTACATACAAGTACAGCAAGGCATCATTGTGTTTTCTAATTATCTGAAATATAGAGTAGGTTCTTACACCTTTATTGTGAAATCCATCAAAATAAAATTGAAAGCAACTTAAAAGCATTTATCAGCAGTTTCTATATATCCGATCATCGAACGTTAACTCGCTTATTAGCAAATCATAGATATTGTGATGAACTTTGATTAATGACATATATGGATTTAATCATTTGTAATTGTATATCTATGATTGTAACGTGATACATGTAATTTGTAAATATATCACCTTGCCTGTCTTAAGTGGTAAAGATACTGAACACCTAGTGTTGCCTGTGTATGCGTACTCAGGTGTATAGAGCACCTGTCTATGTGTGTTGTCATGCATGAGTAAGCTTGTGTTTTGACACGCTCCAGTGGTGTGTAAACCAGCTGGCATGCTACCTGAGAGGCCAATAAACCCACAAAAAACCCCAACTTTTCGGACAAACACAAAAAGATGATAGAATTGTAACAAGGCTAATGATTAGGTCATACTAAATTAAAAGTAAACGTCAACCAAATGCGGAAAGACGTCTCGCCAAAATGTCGTCACTACAACCATTTAGAAACCATAGACCATATCTTTTTCCGGTGTAACAAACATACAACAGCACGCCAAACATTTCTACAAGAGATGGGGAAATTAAATGTATCCACAAACAACAATCATGCAATACTACAACCTAGCCCAGTAGGACATAAAATTCATAAATAGATACTGAAATACCTAACACAAACCAACTACAATAGACCACATTTAAAAAACAAGCATCGCAAATAGCCATCATGTACCAACTACACAATTACAATGCCCAACGTCCAGTATAGGTTATACATGAACGAGAACCTCAGGATACAACGGTCATGGACTGATGATCAGTTGGATTCGGGTTTTGTGCACTGGCTGGTAGCTTCTGGAACCCAGATATGTAGAACAACGGGGATAAATGGCTCTCGATCAGACTTTATACAGAGCAATTTATTCAACGCTGGACGAAGGGCAATATGACTAACCATAACCCAATAAACAAATATACAAATCAAAAACAAAACACACTCACCAAAACACTACTCTATCCCCCACCCGCGCATTCACAGGACAAATAAGACAACAAACATCATAGTAACTAATGACACTGACATTGACATAGAACCAACACATAACACCAACCCTAATCTAATGTATAGAATGAACTACGACAGGAAATCATTTTAGAACTGCCCCGTAATCCCCTTACCACCAAAATCTAAATAAAAACGTATTTTCGAGTATAATTAGGACACCGTTTAAGGTATGGGGGCCCTGAAAGGGCCGTTTTAGGGACATTTGTAATGTTACTAACATGTCACACCAGCTAAATACATAACATAACTTAATCCTAGTGAAGGATTATTTTAGTCAGTTTCATGTCATTAATGATAATATACAATTAATTTGAGATAATTGTTTCTCCTGTTATTGAGCAGACCATCACGACCTCTTTTGAAAAAATGTGATATTGTAAAAACATTACAATTTGTTGTAAACATCGATCTCATGGTCTCAGATATATAGGCTGAGTAACCAGAAACTGTAACTCTACACCATAGTTTCTTGTATATGGATTCTATAATTTGATGGATATCTTAAAAAAGATAATTATTTTACAATTTTATTTTGATATAAAGGTACATAGATATAAATGTGCCCACCTCCTAGAACTAAGCATAGTTTGTACCAAAAACTACTGGGGTTTTTTTGACAACATTTTTTGCTATTTATCGAATGAAAAAGATGTGTGCAGATTTCAGAAATATTTTGAAGCTAATAAAAATGAATAAAGACAAATCAAAATTGACCGAAAATAATCAGAGAATGAACTTATAAGATTAGATAGATGTGTAGGTTACTTTGGTAATGATAAATTGGTTTTTGTAAATATTTGAATTGTCAATTTTATTCTTTAGGTAAGTCATCTTCCGAGTGTTCTCCAGTAGAGGCTTGCTCTAGGCGTGGTCTTAAAAAGTGCGAGAGCGAGCCCCAGATCCTGGTGATGAGCAATGTCTAACGATTTGAGATATGAAGGTCTAGGAGACCCATATACGGAAAGAAAAGTGTGTGTCATTGGACATACAAACAAGTGTTGTGATTTTCTCTTTATCAATCTTTGATGGCATCATAACATTTAAGAATAATTTATAGGATGGCTGGTTTTCACCAATGGAAATGATTCTTCCTCCTTTGAGAATTACTTCTGATTTTGGTGGCCACCATGATAGCAAGTATGTCTCCTGACTGTGACACTGTATCTAAGTATGGAACTCATCCTCAGCTGGTTACAATGTGACTTAATTGACTTTCAAACAACATTCAACGATCATATGGCTCAGTTAATTATCCTTGACACTATTTTTTATTGTTTAGTTTGTCATTTGACAGCATTCTTTACTGCAAACTGCAGTTTGGATTGAGTTGAATGACTTATACTTGTCTGAGTCAAGGACATATTTTCGTTTTGAGTTTTCTTTTACTGGGTAGATCAGAATGACACATTCCAATGTAAATCAGAAATTGGAACCTTAGTTAAATCTTGTTACTCTAAAAGTAGGCAATATTGGTGTCTCTTAAATAAATTATTCAAGTAATATATCAACTTCAAAAAGTAAAAAAAAAACTTCACATCAAAATAAACAAATATTCAACATAAAAGAATATAAAGTTACGTTTAATACTATCGTGCCAAGATTTTATTAGTCGGCATACTTGTTTACCTGGTATTTGATAGTGCATGCTTTCACTGTAGTTAATAACTTCACTTTAATATCTAATAGCTCGTCAGGACTTATGAGTCATGTTCTTTATATACAACAAAGCATAAAATTCTTTTTTCCTTTAAATCTTCTCATCTCTACTGTAATTTAAAAAAAGAGCATGAGACTAGAGACTTGGCTAGATGTACGTCCCTGTATACATTTGAAAGATTAGTTTTCTATTTAAATTGTGTTATTACTTAACAGATGAGACAAGATCAAATTTACCACACACACACACAAATATATTTATTCAACAAGTGATTTTTATTGGTATATTATAGAGATTTCAGCAGAAGAGATCATACTTTCCACATAACGTACATTAGAATCTACTGGATATTGGCATGACAAACTTGTTGTCATTGTCAATTCGTATAAAAGAAAAACAATGCATCATTGTTCATTCATACAGACGATCAATGTTTTATAGCTTGGCAGTAGAAGGTCTCATGTCACAAAGAATACTTTTCTTTCAGTCACCTGAAATCGAACCACTTAGATATTTTCTAGACGAAAGTGATTGTTTTGAACCATGTTTATCATGTAACAACAGGTTCTTGGTTATATTCAAAAATGCCCAGAAGGACTAGAAAAATACCCGTCGCACGACAGTGTGATTCGTAATAGGAACATTTATGACATGTTTACATATTTCGAAATGTAGATAAACTTAGATGCTTTGCACAATAAATCAGTGTTGAATAAACAGTTCGATGTTGTTATTTTAACATAATCAGTGCGAATGCCTGCATATTTTTTTATTTGCAACGCTTGACTGGTATTTTCCGTGAAAGGTATCAATTCGGGTACGGTATCGAATTGGATAGCGCCAAGTTAGTGTTAGTTTCTGTCATAGTGCCATCATTTTCAATTTTGATAAGATTTCAAAACAGATTTAGCTTTTTAAAAAACTATGGAAAGTATGCGAGTAGGATAACACATCGCTATACAAATTTCTAATCACATAAGGTAACACCAATCTACAGTCATTTCGTCCCTCTAGGCTCAAACTGCTAAAACATGTTTGAAGGACAATGTAGAAAATTAAGATTGGTCAGTTATTCAGTTGGAACAGTTATTCCAGAATCCACCAAAATGTTCTAAATCGAATGCTTTAAAAAAAGCTGTACCATGATAAAAAAAAAATGGCATACAGATTATGGTATACTTCGAGAACCTAATACCAGCAGTGTCCAACACATGTAATTCAACTACAAGACACAAACGGATATCACTTTCAAATAAAAAAAATAGAACCGGATAAAGCATCATTTTCAGTTCTGCATAGCGGGAGATAGAATGTCAATCAAAATATATTTGAAACTTTGATGAAAACATTATCAATTTAATTAGCTAATATTTTTAAAGCTGTTTCTCGTCTATTGCAAATAGTTCGGCATTCGTGGTGGCAGCTGTGAAATGTTATTGTTGGCAGGTGTGTTTGGATGGTCATCAGGTGTATGAATTAGCATGGTTCGATGATTAGATAGTTTCTAGTTATTATAAAGGGAAAACGTGAAATAAAACAGACGTTAAACATGTTTAGGACGTAGGCAGATTTAGATATGGAAATGGGAACTATTTAATGCATATGACAGAGAAATGCCATAATGTTATGTGAACCCAATCCGGTTAACCATCTTTCACTTTGCGATTTTCAGTGTTTTCATATTTTTAAAAACAAGTACAGGAGGATGGAGCTTAAACAATCATCGGCATACTAGTCAACGTACAGACACCATAAACTCCCGGTCACACATTTGTATACTGTGTTCCACGTGGTTTATTTTTAATACCAACCACATATGTGCAATTCTTTAATAAACACATGGAATATTTGGTGTTGTAACGACCTATACACTTGAAGTTGTCGTGTTGGTGTAACATATGGCACATGAATGCCACACCTTAGGTCCGCTACTTATTTTTATGTGTTGTTGTGAAATATATTTTATTTACATCAGGATGATGGGTGTTGGATTCCACATCGTTCTGCTATTATATGTGCGTGCCTGCTACATGACGCGGCTTATCGAGTAATGTTGATGGGAAGAATGAACTCCACGTGTGATAAATAAACAAGTCTTGGTCGGTCTATCCTCACTGTTTAAGATAGTGATTTCTCGACGTTAGAAAACAATACTGTGATAGTAATATGCTAATCACCGTTTCTCGTCCTTCATCCTTTCACTCGAATAACGTCTTCTTAAGTACAGCAAATCCCAATTTACCTTTAACATGATCAAGTTGTAAGAATAATCTGAAGTCTTCATCATCACTTCTAGTCACACAGTAATAAAACTACGTCGCAATATTGATGGAATTGCTTGATCAATCAGACGTGCAAATTAAGTGCAAATTTATCGACACAGAATTGACATTTCCGCAGAAAATCTTTTTTTTACGATAGAACTAGTTAGAATAGTCCGAACGGCTCCGCGATCATTATTTTTCCTTGGTCGATGTCTACAGGAGACAAAAATAAAATCGCGGATGGATAGTCATTCGAACTATGGTTAGAGATACAATCTGCCTCAGTCTGACGTATACAGTTGTACGATCTACGCCTTTGTTCATTGATTGATATCCTTTATTCATCACTTCTGATTATTATGTTTATGTACTAACATGTTAAGCATTGGTAAAGTACAATATTTTAATTAGATCTGAACTATTTATAGCCCCAACATTGAAAATGGTTGATAGTCAACATTATGGAAACGAATGTATATGACACTTAATGTATTTATGTGGTATAAATCGAACCAAAAGCAGGCCAGTCCAGGCAAATTTTCGGTTTTTTTTTTTTTTTTTTTTTTAACTAACAAGGAAACATTTCTAAATGCTCTTTTTTACTTTTGAATTTTGACTCCTTTTTAAATTTTAAGAGCATATTCATCATTCTGAACAGCCGGATGTTACCAAGAACGAGTGTGTCCAATTACATTTGAAATTTTCTTTTAATAAAGTAGGCTTAATCTAAAACAGTTTTACTAACTGCTCTGCCTAAATCTTGCGCATTGTGCTTATAAATTCCTAGTTTAATCTCTTTTGTCTTTATATACGAGCCTTTCTATCTTAGATTTCATACTATTTATCTGTGATCACACCTACTGTTGAGTTGTTACAACCTGGATTCATGTTCTTTCCATACCTACACGTGTATCGCATTATTAAGACATGTTTAAGTGTTAAATTGATCGGATACCTGAGGAAAAACCACGTGGTAGGAATTACCTTACACATCTGTTCGGGGAATCGAACCTCGGTCATCTTAGTGAAAGGCGAGTGCGTTACCACTGCGCCACCCGACCACCAAATAGTAATTAATCGCTAATAAGAATAACCTAAAACGATAATAAGGTATGATAAATAATATTTTATTCAATAGTAAGCGAACGTAGGTTTATTTTTGTAAGGACCAACAGGCTTATTTTCTTTAAAAGTTAGCAATTGTAGGGTCTAGTTATGTAAGAAGCAACATACTTATTTTCTTTAATAGGAAGCAAGTGCATATTTGATTATATAAGACACTGCTATTTTCAGGATTGGTGGATATTGAGGCCGGCTTCCCTTCGAATTTTAGACTATATTTGGAATATCATCAATGTAGACTGCCATTGATAAACTATTGTATTAAAACACATGCTTATACCGATATAATGGAATAGACAAGCTGTTTCTAACCGAAGTCTATTGTATAAAACCGTATTCATGTTTAAGATCGGTTGCAACATATCTCTAGCAATTAGCAAGAGATCATTGTAGATATAGCAATGCTAATCTTTAACTGCTATATCCAAGATGGTCTCCTGTCGGCCATTTTGTTTCTCTGATCAGTCCCAAAATCAAACAGGCACAACTAAGGACCAAGGGGAACCAAAGTCATTATCTGAAAATGGCCGCATGTCAGCCATTTTGTTTTTCTGATCAGTCTCAAAATTTTAATGGGCATAACTAGGGACAAAGGGGAGTACTTCACAAGAAATACCGAAATTAAAATTTCAACTAGGGACAAAGGGAAACCTACATATAAAATTTGAGAAAGATCCAGCGAATACTCAAGAAGTAGCGATAACAATCTTCATTGTAAATATCCAAGATGACCGCCTGTTGGCCATATTGTGTTTCTGATCAGACCCAAAATCAAACGGGCACGATCAAGGACCAACGGAAATATTCATATAAAGTTTAAGAAAGATCCAGCAATACTTCTCAAGAAATAGCGATAACAAAAATTGTTAACGAACTACGG